CCCTGTGCTGGCTTTTCATCTGTAAAAAGAAACTGGAAATACCGTCCTCACAGAGTTTTACAAGCATTAAACCGGTTCATACGTGTAAAATTCTTTTTTTAAAAGTCCCCACTGTAGAGTTGGCGCCCAGAAATTGTGATTACTACTTTCAGCTTCATCTTTCTTTTGTCTCCTTTTCTCCCCCTGATATGTCTCAGAAATCCCAACATCTTTGCCCTCCACCGGTGTGTCCGTCCTCTTGGCCTGGTGACAGAATCCGAGGGCCGCCTGTTGGGAAGGGCAGATGTGTGCAGTTTCCCAGGACTTGCGGCTTCTGTCTCCCGGATGCCGCAAACAGGTTCTCCATCGGCAGCCTTGAACTTTGGGGTTAGCCTGACCTCTAGTGGTCACACCGAAAACTCGGCGGAAAGGTTGCAGGAGATGCTCCAATAGTGAAAAGCTAAGGGGAGGCCCCAGCGAGGCGCTGTATTGGGCAGCTTTTATTGGCGGTTTACTTCCTAAATGCTGAAATGTGTTAATCCACAGAGAAGTCACACCGCGGTGAAGTCCACACGGCTGATAAATGGCAGGGGTGGGTTCTAACTCAATCCTGGAGGGCCTCAGAGCCCTGTTGTTGATGCACGAGGCCCAGAGCCTGGCCAGAAGGAACCATCATCTCGTATTCGGAGAGGCACTCCCATTTATAAAGCCCTTCAGCACAGCACGGAAACAACGCAGACATCCTGTGACATAGGTTTTTATGCCCATTGTTTTTTTGTTTTTTTTAAAAGATTTTTATTGAAGGTATAGTTAACATACAATAATACATTAGTTTCAGGGGCACACCATAGGTATTCAATATTTATAGACCTAAAGAAGTGGCAACCACGATAAGTCCAGCAACCATCTGACACTGTCCCACACTATCACAATATTACTAATGATATTCCCCGTGCTGTCTGTTACAACCCCGTGACTTATTTTTTTATGCCTGGAAATCTGAACCTCTTATTCCCTTTCATCTTTCCCTTCCTTTTTAAATTTTTCAGTTACAGTTGACATTCAGTATTATTTTTTGTTAATTTCAGGTGTACAGCATGAGGTTAGACATTTGTATAATCTAATAAGTGATCCCCCTGACTAGTCTGGTCCCCAGCTGGCACTACACACAGTTATTATTGTATGATTGTCTATGTTCCCCATGCTTTACTTTACATCCTGATGACTACTTTGTAACTACCAAAAAGATAATCCCTTTATCTTTTTCACCCTGCCCCCCGCAACCACCCTCCCATCTATCACCCCAGTAAATCTAGTGCCCATCTGACATCATACATAGTTATCTACCTCGATGGTTCTGACACTCTTCCTCGGTTCTTATCTATGTCCTAGCAAAGGGTTGCCTACATACAGCTACGGAGAAGGAGAAAACCAAAGCCAGGTCCGTGGACACGCAACACACTGGTGTGGGTTGAAAATGCACTTTTGCTGCACTGCGTCCCCACTCAGGGGAGGCTTTGGAAGGCTGGGCAGAGCTCTGGGCAGCAGACCTGGCGGTCAGCCTGGAGAGAGGAGACAAATGGCCTGAGTGACGGAGATGCTGACTTCAGGGCAGTGGTAAAAGGCTCAGCGATTGGTCGGGAGCCTTCAAGGAGCGAGGTCAGAAGGCCAGAGGTCTCGAAGGAGAAGAAGCAGGTGGCCCTGCAGGACGGCCACAGTGGGCGTGGACCCTTGAGCCTCAGGCCAGGGCCCACCAGACAGCATGCAGCAACAGGAGGCCCCTGCACAACTGGGTGGACAGGGGGACTTGTCCAGTGGACACCTGCCAGCCTCTGTGTTCAGCTGGAACTGGGCTGGAACTGTGTGCCCTTTAAAGGAACAAGCACATGGCACACATGGAGACCCAGCAAATGCCCACAGCACGGGATCCCCACACCGAGGCTGATCTGGCCACTGCTGCAGCCAAACATTGGGCCTGCTGGCATCATCTCTTGACATTAAACCCCACGTATGGTGCCACCCCCGAAGAGCCCAACCAGCCCCCTGATGGCGAGTACCATCTGTACCCCGGAGCAGGGGGGTAAGTTGTCCCCACGGGGATTCGTGGGGGTCCCAAGGATGGATTTGTTTGCTTTTCCCGTCCACAGTACCTTGGCCAGCGGCACAGTCTAAAGACTCACCAAGTGTCTGATTTTTCCATCATCAGACCCTGGGTAATATAGGCCTAGGCCGAGGGACTCACGTTATGTCAGAAGAGATGACCATGGATGTGACATTGCCTGTCACTCAGAAGCTGCCCGTCTGATTGACCACTGAAATGGCCTCTTAAAAGTGCAGCTAAGGGGCCTGCCGAGCGGCTCAGATGGTTAAGAGCTCTCTCAAGAGTGCGAGCTCTGGGCAACAGGGTCGCCTGTTTGAGTCACGGCCTGAGCTGAGCTGCTGCTGAGCTGCCAACAGGTGGCAGGATGGCTCAGCTTAAAAACAACAACAACAAAAAGAAAAGCGCAGCTAAGACACCAGCTTGGGGGTGACACCTTGAGAATCAGGGGGCTGTCCCACGAGATGCAATATATACTTTGAGCCTACAGCCATGATATGGTTCTGTGTCTCCACAAGCTATGAGGCATGGATCTGAGAGTCAAAGGGTGACAGTGGCCCCTCCACCGTCACTCCCAGTGACCCACTTAGGAACCTGTGTTTCCTCTCCCTGCCATTTTAAGCTCCGCTGAAGTAAGGCCCTAGATCCTAGGGGAGGGACGCTCCTACCAGGTGACATGATGACCATTCCACTAACCGAAAGCTGCTGCCTGGTCATTTGGGGCTTCTTATGCCAGGAGCCCAGCAGGCAAACACAAAGCAGTGACTATACAGCAGGGCTAATCGGCTCTCATTATCACCAGGACCCAGGATGGCAGCTACGGAAGGAGGGCAGAGAGGGGGCTTCTGAAACTCGGAGGATCCCCGGGGGTGCCCCTTGATGCTCCCATGCCCAATTTAACTGTGAAGAGGCGATGACAGTAACCCCAGCCTCCTTCAGGCCATGAAAACCAGGGGCTCGGAGCCCTCAAGGATGAAGATGTAGGCTAAACCACCGGACAAGCTGAACTGGTGGCCGACATAAGCACCCAGAACAATGCTCACCATTGGTCATTAGGGAAAAGCAAATAGAAACCACAATGAGGCACCGCCCCACCCCCGCCAGGGCGGCCACAACCGAGGACAAGTGTTGGTGGGAATGTGACAAATTCATACATGTCTGGTGGGAATGTAAAATGGTGCGGGGCTGCTTTAAAAAAACAGTTGGGCAGGTTTTCAAAAAGTTAAGTGAGGAGTTACCATGTGCCCCAGCAATTCCACTCCTGGGCCAGGAAACGGTAAGCTACAAAGGCTGAATTTTTTTTTTTCTGTGTGAAATTATACTTCAATGAATCTGACTCAAAAAACAAACAAACAACAAAAGAACCCTGAAGTGGGGGGGGGGAAGGTGGTTCTTTCTTCAACCAAAGACCCAATTCTATTTCGTTTTAGTCACTTAGCAGTCTGAGTATCCTTTCAGCTTTTCAGAAATGCTGTTCACATATACAAGTGGCTATGGAAATACACGTGCATTAATATGTGGTTGTATATATACAAACATGTGCATGTGAAATCTGGAAGCATGTTACACACTGGCTTTTACGGTGCCCTGCGTGTACTTAACTGTGTTTGGAGTATCCCCCTGCATCGGTGCAGGGCAGGCGGGTAACGTGGCGAAGCCTCCGTCCGCTGTTTAGCCTTAGCTGGCATTGTGCTGTACACAAGAGCTCTGCCAGAGATACTGGCAGAGTTCACGGGCAGAATGTGGGGTCCCTTCCCCCCATCTCTCTTTCCAGGAACCCCGCTCCGTTTCCAGAGGCTGTGTTTGGGCATCCCTGGCCTCTAGTTCTTTGGGCAGTAAAGCGAGGTGTTCTAGCTGAGTTCTGACCACCGTCCCTGGGCAGGGACGCCCTGCCTTTGAAAGCAGGACACTCACCTAGCACTGTCCCTTTCTTCCAAGTGACGACACACCCCTCTAGCACCTGCCTGGGTCTGATGGCTCCTCAGCTCTTTCTTGTTACTTAGTTGCTTTCATTCTGTCCAGACTTCATCGTTGTTATCCGTGCAGGCTTGATCTGGGAGGACCCCACGGTGAGTGGGAGCGGAATTGGGCCTCCATCTCCAACGACCACGTTTCACCTTCCGGTAACCCCTGCAACGAAGGTGGTGTTATTGCTTTCCGTCTGCTGAGCCCTGGGTAATGCGGCCCATCGACCCCAGATCTATGAGCATTTGCAAATAGTGTGTTTTTCTTTTTTGTCTTTGTTTTTGCAAGTAAAATACTTTCAGTATGACCTTGGAAAAGCCAACAACCCTCCGACTGCTGTCAGTTGGAATCTAAGGACGCCGTCCTTACAGGGTGGTCCCGAAGACAAAGCACGAGGGGGGCCCAAGTTCATGTCGGACGGTACGTTGCGGGGCTGCTGCAGTCGGGAGTGTGAACCCCGGGGACAGCCCCAGACTGAGGTGCTCTTATTATGGGCTCCACTGGACAGGGAGGACACGGGGCCCAGTGGCCTGCTCAGTGCCCCTCCTGTACATGGCAGAGCTGGGATTTGAACCGAGGCTCCGTGGGGCCTGCGTCTGAGCACTGAACCTCCTACAACCCGGAATGGCGTGGCTCCTAACCCTGGCTGTGCGTGGGAGTCACCCGCCGGAAGCCCTGCTGAGTCAGACACTCTGGACTCTGCACCTGGATCGAATGCCAGGCCTTGGCACGGAGCCCAACAGGCACCCCCTTCCCCTCCCTTTTCCTGCCTCACTGTGGAGGACTCCAACCGCAGGCCCCTGCGGCCTCTCCCAAGCCACAGCCGAGATGATCTCCGAGCTGTTCCTGACAGATCTGTGTCACCAGCCTGCGTGACGGGTGGAACAGGCTACAGGCTCTGTCTTGGGATCCATCCGTCGTCCCCACCTGTCTGAAGCCATTGCCCTGGTCACGTGGCCACTGGGGACAATGCTATGAGTCATGGTGTATGTGTCACCCAGGCTCTGCCTTTCAAATAAGCCACTTGACAACTCCATGCTCCCACTGTCAAGTTTCTGGAACTTCCCAGCATGCTGTGGAAGGTAAGTACAGCTCAGCTATAGCTTGGGTCTTAGAACCCGTGGTACCAGCCATACTCGAATGGCCCGGACGCTAACACAGGGTGGTCCTGAGTTCTTGTTCTAGCACGTTCCTCTCTCAAACCAACAGTTGTTCAGAAGGCTGTTATGGCTTTCTCACTGGCTTTTCTCTCTGGCCTAAGTTCCGTCTCTCCCCATCATTACCCACGTTCCGGCCACACCGGCCTCCCGACTACCCCTGGAACGCACCTCCTGACTCCTACACGTCCATTCACCTCACCCAGAAACTCCTCCCTTAGACCCTCGCCTGGCTAACTCTTCCTTGTTGTTCAAATGCCAGCTCAAATGCCACCTCCTCCCAGAAGCCTTTCCTGACCATCCAGTGCTGCCGCCCTCGCCAGTCCCCCACGGCTCTCCGTCTCGCCAACCCTGTTTTATCCTCTTCATAGCACTTAGCACACCCTACAGTTACATCTCCTCTTTGCTTGTCTGGTTGCTTACTGGGTCTCTCCCACACCAGGACGGGAACTCTAGGATAGCAAAATCCTTGCCTGTCACGTTCACTGCTCCACCCCCTGAGTGCCTAGACCCGTGCCAGGAATGAGCTGTCACTCCGCAAGTATCTGCAAGGTGAACCAAAGCTTTTCTCCTGTTCCCCGACCCATCTCGACCAACGCCTGGTTCTCCAGGATCAACGCCAGCAAACTGAAGGCAAGGTACAGGCCCGAGGGGCACAGGTGTGACAGTCGCCACCAGAAACACCTGCCAGGGAGAGTCAGCTCACCAGGGGGTTTGAGTCACTACCAGCTGTGGCTTCCTCTCTGAGCCTCAGTGTTTCTCTGTATAAAACGGGCGGAGAACCGTGCCTACCTCATGGGCTGTGGTGACCATAAGTGAGACCATGCATGATAGATGAGACCAGTGCCAGGCCTGTGGGCCCAGCGGGCCTGGTACAGAGTGGGGGAGGGGCATGCACGAAGCCTGAGCGAAGGTTTATGTAGGCACACAAGCACCCCCATTTACACTGGAGCTTCGGGCGTATGACAGGGATTCAAGGTCACTGCCACACTTGTTACTGCTGGAGAAGCCAGACGGAACCACTTATCAGGTTTTTGGGGCTCCACAGATAATTCCCCAGCACCGGCCAGGTGCTTTAGGGAAGACATGGATGAAGTCCTGAGGTCTGCACCCTCCAGGAACTTAATCTAGGAGATAAAAACACTAGACCAGAGATAACAGGGGATCAGCAGGGAGGGAAGCCTGCAGCAGACAGTCTGTTGGCGGTGGACCAGCCTTGCTGATGGAAGAGAGGCAGCCCCTTCCCTTGGGCCCTTCCAGGAGACACCTTAGCCCCAAAATCGTCAGCGATTGGGAGACGGCCCTCCCACCGGGCACACCCCACTTCAAATCGTGGTTCCAGTGTGACCTCAAGCATTGTCACTTCACCTGTCTGAACCTCATCGCCGCGTTTATAAGAATGACATTGGGACAGAGTCAAAGAGTTCTTGGGAGGACTGAAAGATGATTGCATCAAAAGTGCTTGGCACACGGGGCGTGGTGGGGAGGAAGCCCGTGGCGAAATGGCAGCCATAGTTGCTGGTGGCCTTGTGTTAGCTGAGCTGGAAGTACTTCAAAGAGACATCGCTAGCATTTGCCACTTGAATTTCTTTTCCAAACAGTACGTAAACGGTGCTTCTGCGCCAGGAGCTGTTGTGGAATTGTCTCAATAACCCTATGAGGGAAGTGCTATTTCTTTCTTTTTTTAAACAAGTGACATCAAATGTACCATATGAACCACTTTTTTTTTTTAAGAGAGATTTTTTTTTTTTAGAATATTATTGGGGAATTGGGGGAGGGGAACAGTGTTGGGGAATTGGGGAAGGGGAGCAGCCAAGTTGTTGTCCTTCAATCTTAGTTGTGGAGGGCGCAGCTAGCTCAGCTCCAAGTCCAGTCG